TACTTGAGGAAAGATGTGGTCCTTCTACCATTCACCACGTGGTTTTCTTTCTCTCAAAGGATATCTCCTTTCATTTAAAGAAGACCCTTCTTCTTGCATTCCATCCTTCTTCTTCCTCAATGCTTTTTTTTTTCTCACTTAAAGGTTGATATTCTTCATCATCATCATCATCTTCAATATCTTCATTGTCTTCATTGTTGGTTCTAGCAATTGAAGGCATACTATGATTTACCTTCTTTGGCTCTTGATCTTGACTTCTATTTCCTCCATCCTCATTGTCATCATCATCTTCTTCTTCTTCTTTTTTCTTTGCTGAATTTGAAGATGTGTCCACAAACATACCTTTACTCCTACTTAGACACTCTTCTAAGTGCTCAAAAGTACTCTTATGCTCCAAAAACTCTATATCACGACTTTTGATGATCTTCTTGGTTTCTAAACACATTAGCCTATATGCTTTGGTACCTTCACAATATCCAAAAAATATACATTTTGTACCTTTTGTATCAAGTTTGGACCTCATACAATCTGGTACTTTTGCATAAGCAATGCATCCAAAAATCTTCATGTGTGAAACACAAGGTTTCTTCCCACTCTAAGCTTCTTGTAGAGTCATTGATGTAAGTGCACTTGTAGGGCACCTATTCCTTGTGTACACCGCATTTATCATAGCTTCCGCCCAATATTCATGTCCAAAGTTTTGTGTATGAAGCATACTCCTTGCCATCTCCACAATGGTACGATTTGCTCTTTCAGCAACTCCATTTTGTTGTGGAGTGTAAGGAGTAGAGGTTTGTCTTGCAATACCTTGAATCTTCATGAAGTCATCAAAATGCTTTGACATGTATTCACCTCCATTGTCCGTTCTCAACACTTTGATCTTGCACTCACATTGTTTCTCTACAAGAGCCTTAAATTCCTTAAACTTTGAGAAACATTCACTCTTAGCTTTAATGATGTAAATCCATATCTTTCTTGAGAAATCATCAATGAATGTAACAAAGTACCTTACTCTTCCAATTGATGGTGTCTTCATTGGTCTACAAACATCTGAGTGCACAATCTCAAATAATTTTGTTGCACGTGTTGCAACTCCACTTGAAAATGAAGCCCTTTTTTGTTTGCCTTGTATACATCCTTCACAAGCAAGTGTCATGGCATTGTGGCTGAATTGACCAAGATCCAAGCCACTTACCATGAATTGGAGCTCTTTCATGCATTTGGCATTCAAATGACCAAGTCGTTGATGCCAAATTCCAAACTTGTCTTGATCTTGTGGAAAATCAGCAAATGCCGCCACTTCAACTCCATTCACCTTTTTGCAATTGATGAAGTAGAGATTTCCATCTCTAAGGCCTTTGGCAACATGTTAGCTATCCAATGTCTTGACAAAACATTCATTCGTGTCAAATTGAACCTTACAACCGTATGATACAAGTTTGTTCACCGAAAGGAGGTTCTTCTTCATTTTTGGCACATGTAGGACTTCTTTCAATCTGATCCTCTTCATTTGGTCCTTCACAACAATCTCCACTACAATGGAGCCAATTCCAATGGCTTGTACCATGCCATTGTCTCCCAACCACACTTTTGTTGCTGAAATTTCTTCATAGGTGTCAAATGAACACTTGTATGGTGTCATGTGCTTAGTAGCACTTGAATCTATAATCCACTTTGACATGGCAGCCATGGAGGCTCCTTCCTTTGCCATGAAAGCATACTCATCTCCACCAAAACTATCACTAGCATTGTTTGCATTCTCCCTATCTCCTTTCTTGGCCTTGTAGCAATTTCTAGCAAAATGACTTGGTTTTCCACAAATATAGCAATTCCTCACATTACTTTTTGAATTATCACGTTGGTGAGAATAGCTACCTTTGCCTTGTCTTGAAAATAGAGCCGAATCATCACTTACAAGCTCTTTTTTTTTCCTCTTGGTCACTTCATGGGCAAGTCTTGACGTGACATAGTTCATGGTAAGCTCCTTCTTCCATCTTTACTGTCAAGAACTTCCTTCTTGTCCAAAGGATGTTGGCAAGGTTTCTACTCTCATAAATGTTACAAAGAGTCTTCCATGCTTCCATTGGTCCATTGTAAGCTATAACATGTGAAAAATTGGCATCATCAAGGTTTGTTGCAATCCTTCCAAAAGCCTTCCTCTCATGACATTTGTACTCCTTCTTCACTTTGATATCAGCATTGTCACTTGAAGGGTCTTCACTTTCATCAACAATGTCCCAAAGGTCCAATGAAGCCAACAAAAGCTCCATTTTCTTCTTCCAATGGTAAAAGTTGTCACCCCTAAACTTTTCAATCACTCTCAAGCTCTCACCCTCACTTGAAGCCATATCTAAGGAAGAGATGTGTGAAAGAAAATTAAGAAAACAAGATATAGAACCCTCAAAATCAACAAGAAGGTGTTGCTGCCTTAGAAACCCATAATGCCATCTTTGTAAGTAAACAAGTGATTTCACTCTTGTATCACTTTCAACTTCACATATAAGACTTCTCACAAGTCTTACACTCTATCTAAAACTCTCGTATAAGCTTTGCCACTCTTCAATCACCCCTCTTTTCTCACAAAATACTTCTAACCTCACAAAAAATACTTGTGAAAATAGAACAATCTCTTAAGAAGTTAAGTATATGAAACCACAAAGTTAGAACATCAATGATAAGTTTCAGCAAAGAAATATAACACTAGAGTTCTAAAACATCATTATATAGAGTCTAACATCAACAAAGACTATAAGTGCACTTAACAATAAATAAGAGCAAAATTACATCAACAACTAGATGCATAAGAAGGATTAGAAGATAACAAACTCAAACTTCAGCAATAACCATAAGATCTACTCCTTACAACAAGAAAGAATTCAAAGTACTTCAAAACTCACAAGTAAAGGTGAGTGGGCCCATAACCTATTAAGAAAACAAGTATTTAGAAGACACAACACTTAGCATCAGCAAGGTTGTACACAAAGACAATATGGAGTAAGATATCTCTCACTTCCAACACCCATTACTTATAGGTAGTAGTTGTTGCCCTAAAAGACAACGTCCACTCTTTGACTTTTACACACATGGCCCTAAGATCCTTTTGGCATCTCACGAGTCCCAAGAGTATCCTATGTCCAATACTAATTACTCTTACGTCTTACACACATGCTCTTAGGATCCTTTGGCATCTCACGAACTACGAGAGTATCCTATGACACACACTAATGACTCATACTTAGTCTTTGGATATTTCCTTGTTAATACTTTATCCTTTTGACTTTGACTCTTGGTCCATGACTTCGTCCTATATCCATTGGATGCCCTTATCATATATCAAGAGTCAAACCTTTGACCTTTAGCAACTTACTTAAGGTAATATCCTATACAAGGTAATATTTTTTACTTTTACTTTAATAAATCAACTATCAAATAATATGTCCAATAATTAGTATTTTTTACATTCTTTAATGCCAAAGATTTGAAAAAATAATAATATTTAAAGATCTTTAGTCTAGATTTTGAGTTTATATTCAAATGATATGTGAATGTAAGAGAGATGTTAACTTTTGTAAACAATTTTATAAAGTTGGTCATGCAGCTACATCAAACATAAAAGACTTTGTAGATGTAACAATATAAAGTGTCAAGGTCAACCCAAACAAGGCTAATGCAAGCCTTTGTGATCTTATGAAGAAAGACATTAATAAGGTGAGGAGTAAGATTTTTAGTTTTTATAATTTATTATATTAATATAATTAATTGATTAAATATTGACATAAAATAGCACATTAAGTATTATTTTATTTTCAGAACTCTAATAGTGCTAGAAGAAATTTTATACATTTACAAGCATACTGTATTCATTAAGAAAATATATAAAAATTTATAATTTAAAATTTATGAATAAAATAAATTATATACAAAAAATTATTTCTATATTACATTAAATTACTATAGGATTCCAATGGCTTGGAGTGGGTGGTCATTAACAAAAGTTTTTGTGTTATGCAACCAAAGATAGTTGTTTGCAATAAGAAGGCTTGCCAAACCCTGCAAAGAATATTATTAAGGGATTCAATGTTGACTAAGATGTATAATTGTTCTTCAAACTTTAGGTTTTTATTAAGAATGTGGATGCAAAATTTGGCACTTCATATAAGGATTTAATTTGATTTGGAAATATTTCATATGTGGTATTTACCATTATAAATAATAAAAGATTCATTTAAGTGGGGGTTTTATGACTACATTTAGTTTAATTATAAAACTACTTAGATATATAATACTAGTAGAAAATATTTTATGATTTTTTAGAATAATTTAAAAATAAAATGAACCTATATAATATTTGATACTAAAATAATATTTTAAAGAGAAATTTAAATAAATTATTTATCTTAATTTATTATTAAAATACAATAATAAGATTTTACAATATTTTTCAATAGAGTATGTGTAAATTAAAAAATTATTAAAAAATCAAATAAAATAAAATGTATATAATTATTATTTCTGTATACTATTTCTTCTATAAAGAAAATAATCAATGATGAATCCTTGTTTATAGTATATTTGTGTTTGAAAAAACATTGATGAGTAAATTTTATGAGTTGCAAGAATTCTTCCTAAAAACAAAAGTGTCGTGTGCATTGAATGCTATTGTGTACGACCAAAACAACATAAATAAATAAATAAATAAATAATGTTTGAAGTGATGTATCTAACAACGATGGCGGCGCCCTGTCAATTTAGGGGATATTGTGGGGCAAGTATGACCAAAGGGATGCTGGCTAGCTGTCATCTCTTCTTACGTGGCAGCACAAACAGATGCCTAGCTCTCGGTTTCTCCGTCGCTTTACGTTACGTGGCAGCAGCAGATGCCTCTCTCTCCGTTGCTCCGTCGCTTGACGACTTCTTCAGCACTCGCTCCAATCCCCCTCTCCGTCTCTCTCATCAAACTCGCTCGATCTCTCTTTGTTTTCTTCTGCCTCGACCATCAAAGCCCACACTAGCATCGAGTGAGCATTCCTGCTAGCGAGCTAGCTAGGAGTGGGAGAGGTGGGAGAGGTGGGAGGAGGGAGAGGTGGGAGGAGGGAGAGGTGGGTGGAGGGAGAGGTGGGAGGAGGGCGAACTGGAGGAGGAGACGGGGCTTGTTCCCAGGTGGGTTTAGCGTTCCTCTCTCCCTCTCTATCTCTCGCTTTGCTTCCCAACAACACTTTGAATGTTGTTGTTGTTGTTGTTGTTGTTGTTTTTTTTTTTTCTTTTCTCCTGGTTTGTGAGGTGGGCCAGTTGTCTCGCAGTAATCACTCATGCCCCAGTCTGTGGAGTTGTCTTACTAAGTGAATGAATGAGATCCTATCTTTTCATACCTTTTCCTGTGCAAAGAACTCTCTCGTAAAGTTCGGATTTTTACACATCTGCATCTTTGTATTTACCGCAACAAAGGGATTATTGTGTTACGGTTCCGGTTTGTAAATGGATACTTATTGTATGTGCGGCTGTTCAGCACGGACGATACCCTCTTCCGGCACCCTGCCCCCAAAACCTCGGTCGCGGACGAGAATGATTTAGATCATTAGAGGCTTTTGAATACCAACAATTTGGCGACAGCCGCAACAAAACTAAAAAAAAGGAGTGGAGAGCTCGAAGCCGGTGGGGTGACTGTTCAACCCTCTACCGCAGAGGGTTTAGTCATGGATACGCCTGGTGGAGTGGATGCTGAGAGAGAGGTAAAATCGACTGCGGGTTGCATTCCGCAGTTCGCACTGTCTTGCGCCCAGGAAGAAAGCACGAATGTGGGGATCGGTGAGGAGAATTCGTCGGTCGAAAGTGAACAGCCGTTGATTGGAGGCGACGGGGTTGCAGGAGGAGGTGGTGAAGCTCATGCCCTTTTGCAGCCAGGTGCTGCTGCACAGCCGGGTGATTTACCCCACGCAGCCGTCCCACCCGTCGTCGATGCCCCTAATCCATCTCAGATTGAGAACATGAGTGAAGCATCTCAGGCACAGTACCTCTGGTTCATGAAGACTTTTCCAAAACTGGAGGATGGTGCAGATAGTTGATGGTGATCACGAGCCATTTGGGTGGTGCACCAGCGGCAGGTGACATGTTAGAGCAGGTGGTTTCATAATTTGAGGGGGTCGTTATACTAAAGGGGGGGGGGGGGGGGGGGACAAGGTGAGAAGCCACCTGAGGCATGTATAAGCACGCAAGGAATACATCTGGGTTTGTCTTTGAGCGTTGTTGTGGATTGTGGTGGACCTTGAGGCTCAAATGTTTTACAGTGTGTGTGTAATGCGTTGCCCATGAACGAAGAGCTGGGCGTTTCTGAAACGATGAACATTCACTTGGCACGCTGTTGCAACACACTCCCGTCCTGATCTGTGCAAGAAGGTTTTCTTGAATGAGTTGACTGGGAATTACAGCATAAGTGCATCCAGTTGGCCCCGCCAGGTTTGGAGCACACCCAGAGAGCCAGCCCAAAGTCCTAAAAGAATCGCGGTGGGGATGAAAAGGAGCACGCTGGGCGCAATGAACGAACGAGGGAGAGCTTGAAGCGGAGGAACACCAGCATACTGTCATACACAAACGTAATGAGTGCCAGCTCCTTGTGTTGGTAATCCTGCAGGCCCTTCTTCTTTCACGTTACCAAATGGTTAAAGTATGAATCGTTCAATTTCTGGAAGATTATTTGTACATGGTGCAAACAAGTGTATAAGTAAACAACGTGATACGTAACACATAGAAATTCTGTGAAATACTGAAGGGCTTGTCAATTACTTTCTTCTATATTTATCTTTATATATTTTTATCTTTTCCTCTCTTTGAATTCTTGAAACTCCTCATTCAATAAAATCCAATGAAACCAAAGCATTCAAGAATCATGTGGTCAATTCAAGTATATTCCAAGAACAAAATGTGGGCTTTGTGAATACTTGTCCTTGTGGGATAAAGATACATTGTCTATAGAACATTGGTACACGTCTTAGGGCTGTTTCTTTTTGGCCACATTAGGCCTGAGGAGCAATATTGGTATTTGGAACTAGCACAATCATGTCTATTGGCCTTGCTTTTCTGGAACATGTCCAACAAAAGACTGGGTTCTTGACAACAGTATTCAAAACAAACAAGCATCTAAACTTATCAGTCGCAAATATCTAGAACTTTCCTCCAATTGTTTGATTGTTTCAGGTAAATTGAGTTTTGTTACAATCTACACAAGAAAAAAATTGTAAAGATGATTAGTTGGAGGATTGAATATTTTAGTAGTATGATACCAGGAGAAATGAACAGCAAATATATATCTGCTACCAGAAAGGTTATCCACAGGGAGTGGTCAACATGGTAATTGATCAGAATATGCATGCACATGGTCGAAGAGTGGAAATATACGTAGCTTTTTTATAAGAAAACTTTTTGACTGTCAGGAGTCGTGTTGACTCAAAAAAGGTCCTTGGAATTTTTTTAACTGATATATCAAAGGGGATATTATACATGGCACATCAACAATGCTTTGGTAAATTTATGACCCTGATATTGGCAAAGAACCATAAACTTTGTAGTGCAAAAGAGAGATCAGACCTAATCATCATGCTTTACAAAAATGTTTTGCTGCAAAGTGCAAAAGGTTTGAAATTTCAAAAATTCATGTTCTTTGAACAAAACTATTGCATGTACAAGTATATATATCCACATACATTTTTATCTTTACATGCTTTCAGTTTATTCCAGTGTAGCTTTACATGGAAACCCTTATTAAAACTCTAACATTTGACCCTTTTTCGAGGAGGGTAAGAATTTTTGTAATTATTGCAAGTTGGTATGAACACCAGAGTTCAAAGTAAACCCTTTGTCCTAAAACTTCTACTTTCTCTTGAACCAACACCTGGCAAACTCACTGCTTCATGTTTACTTGCAGTGTCAGAATGTAAAACGTGTCTGGATTGATACATACACCAAAAACTGAAATATCACTCGACTCCCACCCTTGTTCAACAGTGACAGGAAATACAGAATGGGAACAGATTATTATTAGTTGCAAGGGATGCATTATGAAGCATGGCCATTCTGAATTTGTGGAACTCCCATGTGACACCCAAAGCTAGTGATAAGGGCGATGTGTGTAACATGGGGAAGCAGGCATTGCCTTTCAAACAGATAGCAGGGAAGGGATCAGGCCACGATTTCAAGGTCGTCCAGAAGAGCACATTTTACAGTCTCCTTGCGATAATTGCCACCAAGAATGCCAGAAACATTAGGTGGCTGGTTGCAATCTGAGGGTTGTTGACCACTTAGCAAGAAGATGCGAATCTTTTTAAAGCACATGTGAGCAAGTTCAGAGGAGATTTATACACTGCCTAGTCATCGCGTGCATATAAACAGATGGGAGAATGGCTTTTTCCGTTGGCCCGGTCGGTACTGACACATTAAATGGACAATTCGTATGTGGAAAGATGGAAGAAGGCCTGTGGTGTTAGCCGAAGCTCGACAATTGACTGAGCTGGCACCGTGAAGTGTAGCGGAGAGTGTTGTATTGTGGAACCTGGAGCAACTACCTCATAAATTTTCAAGAGGGGAAGGAGAGGGTTCGATGGGGAGAATGAGTGAGAGTGTTCATGGACGAGTGAGCCTTCTTCGCAGATCTGAGCCCTGCCGAAGGGGACGCCATGTGAACAAGGCAGGGCTTCTTCTGTGAGTTGAATGAATCGGTCAGTGTGGACAGCCATAGGGATATGACTCGGCGATGGGGTAGGGTGGCGTGGAGATGGGGGCCGCGGACCTATTGTTGAACACGAATATTAACTGTGTCCGAGCTGGACCCACACGTGTGGCACCCCTTCGTCATTTAGTTCCAAGCTTTGGGGTGGGTAGTATCAATTCTCGTGGTAGTGGGCCGGGTTGAACATCTTTAGATGTAATTCAAACATTTAGTGTCCCTTAGTAGATTTCTAAAAAATGAGTTATGAGATTGAGGAGTTAGAGTTAGTTTCTATGCATATTTCTTGATATGGTTTATTTAATGCATTAATAACAGTATGTGGAAAATGGTATAAACTGGTTTTCAATATTATAAGTTATATGTCTTTATTAATTAGTAAAAATGGCACAAACCATTAATCAAATATGTACTTACATATGTATAGGACATTCCTTATCTAACCATAGTTTTTGCTACTACAATTACAATTTGCCATCCATTATATGCTACCAATATACTTTATTAATGCCATGGTGAAAATCCAACACAAGACGCTTACGAGAGACATTAATTTTTCTTTTTTGTAATTGCATAACTTGTGGCCAAGCCCTCTTTTTACAAGTAGGTGATCAAAGCATCATAGCTTGCAAAGGTGTTGGCAATGTCAAATTCTATGAGAAAGAAATATGGTGTAAAAAATTATTAAGCAATGAATGCATTGCATACAAGACAAGGGTATAAGAACATTTGAAAAGAGTATATAAGCTTGTAAAGGACAATAAGTTGAATAGGTCGTGATGGCAATAGAAAAAATTATAATTAAATTAATAATATATATATATATATATATATATCTTTATATTTTAGCATAAAGAATCTTGCTTTGCTTATGGAATAATATATTAAAAATATTATTTATATGATATGATGTACACCATAATCTTAAATCTTGATGTAAAAAATATAACAAATAATCATGTAAATATATTTTTATTAATATTATAAAATAAATAAATATATATATATATATATATATATATATATATATTGATATAATATACAATAGACTAAATAAGAAATTGAACAAAAGAGTTTCAATAAGAAAGTTAGTATAAACTTAATTAAACAGATGAATATATGATCAATACTAAGAAAATTGAGCTAAAGCTCCAAGAGATATGTTGTTGAGACTAAAGATTTCTTTATCCTCGACTCCAATATATACTAGGTATTAAAAAGTTTCTTAAGAATTTTTCATGTTGCTTAAAGATAAAAAAATCTTGAAAAGCTTTTCAAACTATTTCTTTAATCTTCCCAAAAATAGATAATCTAGGTAATTTCAATCAATAAGCCATTAGATTGATTTGCTTTTGAAAACAAAATGGCCTCAATCTTTAGTAGTTCAACTTGTTACAAAGCTACTTGGTCTTGATATTTTGTCAAAGAAGCCATAATTTATTTTTAACTTGAAAAATAAAGATTTTTTTTCTAAATTTATCTAAAAATACTTTGTAATAATCTTGAGCTATTTATAAATAGAACTTCAATATTTTTTGGAGTTGTTATAATTGTTTTTCAAAATCTTCAACTATTGGATTTTCATCCTTTGGTATACGTAACAAATCAAGCTTTGAATGGCAACCATAATTAGCATAAAATAGTATTTATTAGATTGAAGAATAAAAAATATTATTATAAGCAAACTTTGCTAAAAGTAAATATAAGATCAAATTATCTTGTTGATAGTTGATGGTACATTGCTAATACTACTTCAAAACTTGATTGACTTATTTTATTTAATAACAAATTTGAGGGTGGAAGGTAGAAGAAAGTTTGATATCCATCTCCAATATCTCAAAAAGAAAATATCAAAACTTTGATATAAATTAAAATCCACAATTAAAAATGATGAGATAGGCCATGATATTAATATATATTATCAAAAAAGAGCCTTGCCGTTCCTTCTTTGAAAATTACCTTTTTGTATAAGATAAAATGTGCCATTGTTATAAGTCAATCTATAATAATATATATAGCATTAAATGTAGTTAATAATGGAAAATTAATGATAAAATCCATTGATATTAAAGGCCATAGTTGCTTTAAAATTGGTAGTGGCTTTAGAAGTCTATAAAAATAATGACTAGAATTCTTAAATCTTGAACAAATGTCACATGAAAGAACAAAGTATTTCATGGTCTTCAATTTGTGAGGCCACCAAAAATCTTGAGAGATAAACTCGAATGTTATATTAAATCCAAAATATTCTCTAGTTGAAAAATCATGATAAGATTGAAGAACATGAAGTCGCAATGATTCTTTTGGAATATATAAACAATCTTCACAATGTAAAAGATCTTTCACAAATTTGAACTTCTCATGGTCAAGGCACTATTTGATATTAAAAACTAATGAATTCTTAGTTGATGCTGCACAAATTTTTTCAAGAAAATTTAAATCAAGAAGTATAACTATAAAAGTAGTATAAACACCAAATTGTTCTGGCTTCAAGAAAGTAAAATATTGTTGATTAATTGCCACTTCTCTAGCCTTTGAAGCAAGATATTATTTTCTTGATAAAGAGTTTGATAGTCTTTATTGCTTCTTTGATTGATATATAATCATGAAATTAAAATAAGAGAATGATATATTTCAATGAACTTGGTGGCAATTCAAAATCTAAGCTAATATAAAATACTCCAAATTTTTGTAATCTGTATATATAATTACAAGATGTATAGTGCCTTTCAGTAAGTGATACCATTTTTAAAAAGAATCTACAATCGAAAGAAGTTCTTTATTGTGAATCTCATAATTAATTTTTATAGATGAATTGTTTTTAGAATACACCACAATTAATTGGAACTTTCTATCATTTTTTATCTTTAATAGTACACCTTTTAATACAAAGTTGAAAACATCAATTTCCAAATAAAAGGCCTTTATAAAATTTTGATGCATTAAAATTGAAGATATAGTAAAAGTTACTTTCAAATCTTGAAAAGCCCTTTGTACTTGAGATTCTTATTCTAATTTATCTTTAGATGTTAATCAAGTAAAAGGAGTAATAATTTGGAAATAATTCTTGATAAATATTTAATAGAAATTAACAAATCTAAAAAAATATTTTATATCCTATACATTCTTTGAAGTTGCACTCTCTATTATAACTTGAAATTTCTTT